TCTTTGTTTGCCATTCCATCTCTGAAGAGATTACAACTCCGTCAAAATGAATTCACTGGTGAATTTAATGAGTTTTCAGAACCAGCTTCTTCTGCACTGGAAACCCTTGATTTGGGAAGCAATAAGTTGGCCGGACCATTCCCAATGTCCATATTTCATCTCCGAAGTCTGAAAACCCTTGAGCTATCTTCCAACAATTTCAGTGGTCCAATAAATCTGAGCTCGTTTCAGCTGCTAAAGAATCTTTCAACACTTGATCTCTCATTCAACAGTTTGTCAATCAATGAAGCTGATACTGACCCTGTTTCTTTTCCCCAGATTCGCACATTAAAATTGATTTCTTGCAACCTGACAAGATTCCCAAATTTCTTGAAGGAGCAATCCAAATTAAATGTTTTAGATCTTTCAGAGAACCAGATTGATGGGGAAATACCCAACTGGGTTTGGAATATTACATCTCTTGCTTACTTAAATCTTTCCCACAATTTTCTAGTGAATTTGCAAGAACCACCGACGATTCTCACATCTAATCTCTCTGCCTTAGACCTTAGTGGCAACAAACTGCAAGGGCAAATACCAAACCCCCCTCCAGTTGCCACATATTTGGATTACTCAAGCAACAGTTTTAGCTATGTCATACCAGCCAACATTGGTGATTTCCTCAGGTTTACTTAGTTCTTCTCTATTTCCAATAACAGGATCTGTGGAAGTATTCCAGAATCAATTTGCAATGCTACATACCTTAGTGTCCTTGATTTGTCAAATAATTTCCTGCATGGCACTATTCCCCAATGCTTGATTGGGATGGAGTATCTTCGAGTGCTGAACCTTAGAGGAAATAACCTCAGTGGCAACATCTCTGATACATTTTCAACTAATTGTGGGATACGAACACTAGACCTCAGTCGAAATCATCTGGAAGGCAAGATTCCAGGTTCACTGGCCAACTGCACAAGGCTGGAGGTTTTAGACCTTGGAAACAATTTCATCAATGATGTTTTCCCTTGCCATTTGAAGAACAAATCCAGTTTGAGAGTCCTAGTTTTGAGGTCCAACCACTTTCAAGGTCCAATTAGTTGTCCAAATGACAATTCCTCCTGGCCAATGCTTCAAATTGTCGATCTTGCTTCCAACAATTTTAGTGGAAAACTGCCAGAACAACACTTAAGAACCTGGAAGCCAATGATGAATGATGAAGATGAGCTCCAGCACCTTCGTTTTGAGTTCCTGCCACTTAATTCACTTTATTATCAGGATTCAATAACAGTTACCATAAAAGGTCTTGAGCTGCAACTGACTAAAATCCTCACCCTTTTCACCTCCATTGACGTCTAATGCAACAACCTTGAAGGGCCAATACCAGAAGCTATGGGAGAATTGAGAGCACTCATTGTCCTTAACCTGTCACATAATGATCTTACGGGACCAATCCCATCATCTATGGGAAACTTGCGGCAGCTCGAATCCTTGGACCTCTCAAACAACACCCTGAATGGTGTGATTCCTCAGAAGCTGTCGGATCTAAATTTCCTGTCAGTCCTTAATCTCTCAAACAATCATCTAGTGGGGCAAATTCCATTATCAACTCAGTTTCAATCATTCTCAAGCGATTCATTTCGAGGCAATGATGAACTCTGCGGCCTTCCTTTGACAAAAAAATGTGCAAATTCAACATCTGTAAGCAACAATGCCAACAATTCAAATAATGGAACCCAGATTGACCGGAATCTCATAAGTGTTGAAGTGGGATTTGTTTTTGGCTTAGCAATTGTCTATGTACCACTTGTCTTTTGGAAGAGATGGAGGATATGGTACTACAAACGTGTTGACAGTGTTCTTTTCAGACTTCTTCCTCATCTAAATCGAAGAAGCCAAAATCACAGACGAATAGCTCACAGGACACACAGGAGGAGGAAATAGCAGAGCAGCAGTGAAGAAAGAAGCATTGCATCCTGCCACAGTTGGTCTGGAAATAAGAGATGCCTGTACCCAATATTCTTGTTTAGTATCCAATAAGCCTTTCAAACAACCTTTCTGGTATGATATGAGAGGTGAGGTGAAGCCAAACTTGTGTGCATTTAGTTTCTTCTCTTTCCAGTACCAAATTGTACTTGTTCTTATTTCTTGTTTCCTTTATATAAAACTTATAAATAGCATTGTCAACCAAAATCTAGGCTTGCACAAAGAAAAAAAAGGGAAGGTTAAAGTCTTAGAAACAAAATAGGATATTTTCCAAATGTGGGAACTGCTCTTTCATATTTTTTGCGATTGAATAAGAAAAAAAAAAAAAGGAAGAAGAAGGATTTAGTTTAAAATTTGTGGCGATTGCTCGTTTTTTATAGTTTCTGGGGAGGATTAACAAATAAGGAATTATTTCCAGACGGTTTAATTCTAAGACCATAGCACTAGGTGAGGACCATAAGAAACCCAAAATGAATGTTCAATAGTCAATTATATTGTTTCTGGCAAAAATCTTCAGCATTAACATTCGGTTCTGTCAAAGACTGGAATGGTACGTTAATGGAATGATTAGTGATGACATGGACATTTAACAAACACTACAGTAATAACTGAGAAGCATCAATTTTCTTCTTCTGTCCCTGTCTTTCTTTGTTTCATTTTCAAATGATAAAATCTCTAGTCTTCTTTGATCCTTAAAGTCTTGCAATAAGTGGTACCATTATCTATGACAACAAGATAGGGTTACTTTCATGCAATAAGTGGCAATCGAATTAATTAATACAAAGCTCTTAGTTGGGTTCTAGCAACCGCAAGGACTGAATTATCTACTGAATTCTGGTATAAGGATCCCTTGACAGCATTCAAGCGACTGATGCAATTGATTACCCATAATGGTGGCGAGGTTGCTTTCTTAGGTTTGATGGAATTGGATTATTGTTTTTAGCTTACGTGGTGTTGAGTCTGTGTTTTTTCTTCTTTAGAGGGATTGGAGTTTTTGTTTATTCTTCTGCAATCATGACGATGATTTTCTCTTCCTTTAGCTGGGTTGTCTGTTTCTCATAGTTGTACTCATAAGGTAAAGTGTCCCTTATACTCCTTTATTAGGAAAGTTTTTTATGGCGATCAAAAAAAGGAAAAAAGAAAAAAAGAAAAAAACTTTCATTCCGTCTGGTTCATATATACCTCGTTCTATAATACCCTATTTTAGGTCTACATGAAGCAGCATTTTTTCCACCACTTTTTTTAATTTGCAGCGATACTCACGCAAACGAGATGGAAGATTTGAACTCTAAGGACTTAGCATGTTCTTTTAAATAGTAAGTTTGAGAAACATTATTTCAATCCTGACAGCTAAAGAAACACTAGGCTTGACCTGGCAGGCATCCAGACTCGGTTTCATTATTTAGATTGTTGTTTCC